TGAATCCATGTTGGCGATTTGTCACGAAGTCCCTTCTCTCCAGATGTGTTACCAGGTTTTTTCTCACGATCTTCTCCATCACCTTGCATGGTATACAAGTCAAGGACACTGGCCTGTAGTTCAGTGCCTCTTGTCTGTCGCCCTTTTTGTATATTGGGACCACATTCGCCGTCTTCCATATTTCTGGTAGGTCTCCCGTCTCTAGTGACTTACTATACACTATGGAGAGTGGCAAGCAAAGTGCCTCTGCACACTCTTTCAGTACCCATGGTGAGATCCCATCTGGACCAACAGCCTTTCTAACATCCAGATCCAGCAGGTGTCTCTTGACCTCCTCTCTCGTAATTTCGAACTCCTCCAAGGCCGCCTGGTTTACCTCCCTTTCTCCTAGCACAGTGACCTCACCCTGTTCTATTGTGAAGACCTCCTGGAACCTCTTGTTGAGTTCCTCACACACCTCTCTGTCATTCTCTGTATACCTGTCCTCGCCTGTTCTAAGTTTCAATACCTGTTCTTTCACTGTTGTTTTCCTTCTGATGTGACTGTGGAGTAGCTTTGGTTCGGTCTTGGCTTTGTTTGCTATATCATTTTCAAAATTTTCTCTGCTTCTCTTCTCACCCTGACGTACTCATTCCTGGTTCTCTGGTATCTCTCTCTGCTTTCTGGTGTTCTGTTATTCCGGAAGTTCCTCCACGCCTTTTTGTTCAGTTTCTTCGCTTCCATACATGCCCTATTATACCATGGATTCTTCTGTTGCTTCTCGGATTTTTCCCTTTGGGCCGGGATGAACCTGTTTACTGCCTCCTGACACTTTTGGGTAACATAGTCCATCATACCCTGTACAGACTTGTCTCTGAGGTCTGTGTCCCAAGGTATTTCACTTAGGAAACTTCTCATCTGTTCATAATTCCCCTTTCGGTATGCCAGCCTTTTGATTCCTAGTTCTTTTTGGGGGGAGATAAGTCCTAGCTCTACCAGGTACTCAAAGTTCAATACACTGTGGTCACTCATTCCCAAGGGCGCTTCCATCTTAACTTCCCTTATATCCCATTCATTTAGGGTAAATATCAAATCAAGCATTGCTGGTTCATCTTCTCCTCTCATTCTTGTTGGTTCTTTGGTGTGCTGGCTTAGAAAGTTTCTTGTTGCCACGTCCAGCAGCTTAGCTCTCCATGTTTCTGGTCCTCCATGCGGGTCTCTGTTCTTCCAATCTATCTTCCCATGGTTGAAGTCTCCCATAATTAGTAGTCCAGATCCATTCCTGCTAGCAACAGAAGCTGCTCTTTCTATTATGTTAATGGTGGCCATGTTGTTTCTATCATATTCCTGTCTAGGTCTTCTGTCATTTGGTGGTGGATTATATATGACTACGACTATAATTTTTTTCCCTCCATTTGTTACAGTACCTGCTATGTAGTCACTGAAACCTTCACAGCCCTGAATATCCATCTCCTCAAAATCCCAGCCTTTTCTTACCAGCAGAGCTACACCACCCCCACCTCTTCCTTCCCTCTCTTTCCTCATAACATAATAGTCCTGTGGGAACACTGCATTTGTTATCGTTTTCGTGATCTTTGTTTCTGTGAGGGCTATTATGTCTGGGTTTTCCTCTAGTACCAGTTCTCCAAGCTCATTTGCTTTATTTGTAATTCCATCTATGTTAGTGTACATCGCTTTGAGGCTCACTTTCTTCTGTCCCTTCTCAAATCGCCTCCTTGGTGAGTGTTCTGCTGGTGGGGGAGGCTGTTCCATGGGTGTGAGGACCTGTGAGGTGGATAACAGGGTCTCAGAGGATACTGGGATGAGGGGCGGGGGATCCAGTGAAGGGGGAGGGACAGGGAGGGTATGGGGTGAAAGGGGAGGGAGGACGGGAAGGAAAGGGGGGGAGGGAGGACTCGGGAGGAGGGGAGGGGTAGAAGGGTGGGGATTGGGTGTGGGGGGAGGGAGATTTGGCTGAACTTTTGAGTGGGGGCAGGGAGGGTTTGGGGTAGGGGGGTTTTCTATGCAGAGGAGGGAGGCGGGGTTGTCCTCCCTTCTGGTGTTACTGGGTAGCTGGTTGTGGGTTCCCCCCTCGCCTCTGGGGGTGTTGTGTTGGGAGCTGTGACTTCCTGGTTTTCCCCTCTCGCCCTGTGCCTCTTCCTTGCTTCTGCCGCCACGGCTCTCTCCTCCCTTGTCATGTCTCTCTGGAGGAATACATTTTTTAATTTTCCCACGTTTTTCAGGGAGCTCTTCCTTGATAGGATCCTCTCCTTTGTGTTCTCGTTTGCAAACACTATCTTTATCATTCGGTCTCGGTCTTTGTTGTACCGGCCTAGCCTGAAAACCTTCTCAATGCTATGCTCGGCCCCTTCCATGTCTAGTGCCTTTAGTACTTCATTCACTGCTGCTTTGTCCTTGTCATTCCACTCTGTCCTATTGGTTCCTTCCTGTTCCCTAATACCCACAGCAACACTGATCTTTTCCTTTCCTTGTGTGTGTGTGTGTGTGTGTGTGTGTGTGTGTGTGTGTGTGTGTGTGTGTGTGTGTGTGTGTGTGTGTGTTTCTGTGTGCACTCACCTAGTTGTACTCACCTAGTTGTGTTTGCGGGGGTTGAGCTCTGGCTCTTTGGTCCCGCCTCTCAACCGTCAATCAACAGGTGTACAGATTCCTGAGCCTATCGGGCTCTGTCATATCTACACTTGAAACTGTGTATGGAGTCAGCCTCCACCACATCACCCCCTAATGCATTCCATTTGTCAACCACTCTGACACTAAAAAAGTTCTTTCTAATATCTCTGTGGCTCATTTGGGCACTCAGTTTCCACCTGTGTCCCCTTGTGCATGTTCCCCTTGTGTTAAATAGACTGTCTTTATCTACCCTATCAATCCCCTTCAGAATCTTGAATGTGGTGATCATGTCCCCCCTAACTCTTCTGTCTTCCAGCGAAGTGAGGTTTAATTCCCGTAGTCTCTCCTCGTAGCTCATACCTCTCAGCTCGGGTACTAGTCTGGTGGCAAACCTTTGAACCTTTTCCAGTTTAGTCTTATCCTTGACTAGATATGGACTCCATGCTGGGGCTGCATACTCCAGGATTGGCCTGACATATGTGGTATACAAAGTTCTGAATGATTCTTTACACAAGTTTCTGAATGCCGTTCGTATGTTGGCCAGCCTGGCATATGCCGCTGATGTTATCCGCTTGATATGTGCTGCAGGAGACAGGTCTGGCGTGATATCAACCCCTAAGTCTTTTTCCTTCTCTGACTCCTGAAGAATTTCCTCTCCCAGATGATACCTTGTATCTGGCCTCCTGCTCCCTACACCTATCTTCATTACATTACATTTGGTTGGGTTAAACTCTAACAACCATTTGTTCGACCATTCCTTCAGCTTGTCTAGGTCTTCTTGAAGCCTCAAACAGTCCTCTTCTGTTTTAATCCTTCTCATAATTTTAGCATCGTCTGCAAACATTGAGAGAAATGAATCGATACCCTCCGGGAGATCATTTACATATATCAGAAACAAGATAGGACCGAGTACAGAGCCCTGTGGGACTCCACTGGTGACTTCACGCCAATCGGAGGTCTCACCCCTCACCGTAACTCTCTGCTTCCTATTGCTTAGATACTCCCTTATCCACTGGAGCACCTTACCAGCTACACCTGCCTGTCTCTCCAGCTTATGTACCAGCCTCTTATGCGGTACTGTGTCAAAGGCTTTCCGACAATCCAAGAAAATGCAGTCCGCCCAGCCCTCTCTTTCTTGCTTAATCTGTGTCACCTGATCGTAGAATTCTATCAAGCCTGTAAGGCAAGATTTACCCTCCCTGAATCCATGTTGGCGATTTGTCACGAAGTCCCTTCTCTCCAGATGTGTTACCAGGTTTTTTCTCACGATCTTCTCCATCACCTTGCATGGTATACAAGTCAAGGACACTGGCCTGTAGTTCAGTGCCTCTTGTCTGTCGCCCTTTTTGTATATTGGGACCACATTCGCCGTCTTCCATATTTCGTGTGTGTGTGTGTGTGTGTGTGTGTGTGTGTGTGTGTGTGTGTGTGTGTGTGTGTGTGTGTGTGTGTGTGTGTGTGTGTGTGTGTGTGTGTGTGTGTGTGTGTGTGTGTATTTACCTAGTTGTGCTTGTGGGGGTTGAGCTCTGCCCTTTCAGCCCGCCTCTCAACTGTAAATCAATCAACTGTTACTAACTACTACTAATTATTTTTTTCTTTTTTTTTCACACACTCACCCCCAGGAAGCAGCCCATGACAGCTGTTTAACTCCCAGGTACCTATTTATTGCTAGATACCAGGGGCATCCGGGTGAAAAAACTCTGCTCATTTTGTTTCTCGCCAGCGCCGGGAATCGAACCCCAGTCCACGGGATGTGTTTGTGAATGTTTCAGTGTGTTTCAATGCATTTCAGTGTGTGAGTGGTTTTGTAGGTTTGCGTGTGTGTGTGTCTGTCTGTGTGATTGCGAGTGCGTGCATGTTTATGTGGTTAACTTGAGGTTATCTTGAGATGATTTCGGGGCTTTTTAGTGTCCCCGCGGCCCGGTCCTCGACCAGGCCTCAACCCCCAGGAAGCAGCCCATGACAGGTGACTAACACTCAGGTACCTATTTTACTGCTAGGTAACAGGGGCATAGGGTGAAAGAAACTCTGCCCATTGTTTCTCGCCGTCGCCTGGGATCGAACCCAGGACCACAGGATCACAAGTCCAGCGTGCTATCCGCTCGGCCGACCGGCTCCCTCCGGTCGGTGAGTGTGTGTGCCTATTCTTTACAGTGGGGGGGTGGAGGTTACAGGATTAGCAGCTTATTCAGTTCCCAAGTAAACTCACGAGTGAGGTCCTTTTCTCCTGTCTATATCAGGACTACTATTCTATTATTGAATGAAATGCATTAGTGGCTACGATATTATATTTTATAAACCTTGCACACTGTTGGATACCTCAGAGAGGCACTTACCAGCCGACCTCCTTCACCACAAGTTGGTGAGTGTGTGTGTGTGTGGATGTGTTTTACCTTGAACCTCAGGTGGTTGAGAGGTGGCCTGGCGAAGGGAATACTGTAGTAACCGTAGAAGTCCTTGCTCTTTGTGGATGTATGGCGCAAGCCGGATATCACGCCTTCCTCCGTCCTCACAAAAGGTGCATCTTGTGCCACTACCACTGGAATAATAGCAACTACCAATGGCACCACAGCCACTGACACTACTGCCGCTGACACCACTACACTAGCCAACACCCTCATCCTGCCGACATAAGAAAATCATTGATAATTAATATACAAATTTTAATGGAAAAGCTCGGCTGTTTAATAAACAAGTACTGAAAGACTGCAAAGGGGCTCTTCCACCCGACTATTCACGTTTGTGGAAGAGTTTAGAAGAGGTACTAGCCTGGTGAAGAATGACAAGGTGCGGCAAGTGAGGCATCATTCAGCCTGTGTATATTGACAAGAATGTATAGCAGAGTGAGACACTGACCAGCAGTGCCACATAGGAAAGCAGAGAGAGCAGAAAGTCATGACTTTGCAGAGGGTTCATGGCAGAGTCTGCTTTACAATACAGTTATGAGAGATGGCTACAGTTTTGTTGTGGCAGAGAGTAGTACATAAAGACGATAAGAACAACGTAACATGAATGGGAGAGATGAGGAGAATAAGTGGAGCTCAAGAGGTTAATATGAGGCTACTAAAAATAAATGTATAAATATTTCTCTTAAGTAAGAGAAACATTTAACATATAAAATAAAACAATAAAAAAATATATAGCACCTTTGTCTCTATTGAATAATATTATATTAATTTATTTGTTGCCAACCCGCATTAGGGTAGGATATTATTATACTAGTGTTGTATTAAATATTGAACAACCTAGTCTCGTTTAACTTACTCTGCCAACCTGCATTAAGCTATGATACTAAGTTTGTCTTGTGTTGTACCAAATAGTAAACAACCTAGCACCATTTAAATATTGTACAGACCCTTATATAGGGTGGGACCAATAACAACAAGAGTTGTGTTGTACATATAATAAATTTTCTTATAATATATTACCATATAACATATTAATTTATATTGAACTATAATCATTTCACCTCTGAGTGTAATAAGTGTCACTATTCCATCCAATGGCAATAAGGAAGAGCTAACATGAGGAATTCCTCCAGCGACACTGATTTCCTCTCCAAGCATTTGTGGGTGATTATCTAAATTTACTATTTTAATTAACCAACCTAATTGAAGGTACAATTTTAGTCCAGTGATATACAATTTAACCCTAGGCTACTATCATTAGTACTTGTTCCGAAGTTATGAGCAAGTGTCCTAGCTACATTAGTACCAACCTTATGGGACCTACAAAACCCAACCAAGCAGTTAGTATGGCTGGTTAAATAACAAAATTGAAAAGGATGTTAACAGGACTTAAGGGTCATTTAACTTAACAGATCAATAAATGCAGTGATCTATCTCAACAATCTCCAGTTGACTATGTTCAACTAGAAACCTACTTTCAAGTAGCAACAAGTAAGTTTGAGCAAGTCAGACACCAGACAGAAAAGTATTTGCCTGAACTTGCCAACACGAACTTATCTACAGAAGAATTAAACGATATAATGGCTGCCATGGCTCAATATGAGGATGATACTCAAGCCATGTTGGATCCTTTCATCAAATTAATTACCCAGAACAAATTAACAACTACAGCTTTCCCCTAACACTACTTAACTAGAAGTCAAACTGCCTTCAATCACTTTACCCACATTCTCTGGATCAGAGGATGAAAGCTGGGATGACTTCTTGGAATAAGTTTGTTGACTGTGGATTCTACAACCACCTAATTCACATTTCTACAGGATCAACTTAAAGGTGAGGCTGAAAAGGTGGTAGTAAATTTATTCCTAAATAGTGATGGCTATGATCTCGCAGTTCAGCTCCTTAAGGATAATTATGCTATCACAGAGAGAGCTGTTACACATTTAGTCCAATTATTTTGGTACTTACCCCCAACTAATCAGAGTACTGACTCACTCCATGCTTTCAGATTTGAGCCTGAGTCATTACTCAAAGCACTCAGCCTTAAGGTTGGTATAACCAGTGATGAGTGGATGACTAGAGGTGTCATCTGATGGAAACTACCCAGTGAAATACTGGAGAGGTTGAGTTCACTGTATAACAAATCTTCCCTGACAGTTCAGGAAATAACTGAAGGTTTACACTCTGTTGTAGAAAGACAATAAGCAAATATGGATTGTGATCCAACTACTAAACCTTCAGTAAATACCCATAATAGCAAACCAAATGGTACTTCAAGTACTCTCATTAAACTAAAACAACCACCTCCACTCCAAGGTGGAGGTGGGCAGTGTGGGCACTCATGCAGTGGGTCCCTCCAAACCTACAGTTACTGTGACACCCAAGCCAGTGACTCCCAAACGTGCTGTAGGCTGGAAGAGGTGTTTGTTCTGTAATGAAGCACATTCCATATTCCATTGCACTAATTATCCTGATCGTGCTGCAAGAGTCAGGTGACTCAAGGAGTTGCACAAATGCACAAGTTGCCTTCAATAACATAGCATCAACACCTGTGAGAGTCAACTATGCATGGACAAAGTAACGCAATAATGCGAATTTGCCCACTGCCCAACTCATCATTAAAAAGATAAGGGCCGAGGTCAACACTCATGGTGTATTTGACCTAGGGGTCCCCAAAAATATTTGTGTCACACAGAAGATGGTAGATGACTAAATTAAAATATGTTAATCAGGTAAACTAAATATATCAGGGTTTCTGACGAAAACAGGATCCCAAGTCTACAAAGTGGTCCAACCAAAAAAAAAAAATAGATATTTTCTAGTCTTCCCCACCAAATTAGTATGTTTACCAGTTATGCCCGATCTGTACAGTTCATTGTAGTAGACAAAATCCCATCTCACCTATATGTTCATGGTCTAGGGACAACAGTCAAATTTGTACAAGACAAGGGAATCAAGTTAGCTGATTGTAGGTGCAAACTGTTACCACAAATTCACCTCTGGACAAACTAAACAGTAGGGAATGAACCTATTATTGTTCAACCTGCATATTACTCACTGGCCCAGTTTTGAGTCTCAGGAAACCCACACTTCTAGACAACAAACAACTCAACCCAGTGATGGTTGCGTGACTACAAGAAGAACAGTCATCTTTCAAGTTCAGATACATGTCTGAGGATGAACTAGATCCCCCCTGTATACAAATTATTGGACCTACCCACCTTAGGTATCATCCCAGAAATACCTAGTCCAGATGATGTTTGGACTTACAAACAATACCTGTACTCTGTTGTCTACAGAGACAATCAATACTGGGTCAGGCTACCTTGAAGTTGAATCATACCAATATATCAGCTACCAATATATCATTTCATGGCTCAAAAACAATTAAGGTCTCAGGTGTTGTCCCTTGAATAGACAACCTGAGGTCCTGAAATTGCACCAAGATATAATCCAACAACAACTCGACAACAAATTAATCAAAGTTGTAAACAATGATGACTCTAAGGAGGGACACTATTTGTCCCACCATGCAGTACTGAAGAGTTCTGTTACTGCTCCACTGAGGATAATTTTTAATTGAAGTTTTATGGCCAAACATAATAACTTCTCATTGAATGACTGCCTTCAAACTGGCCCTAGCCTGACAAAAAAGACTGTACGACGTGCTGTTAAAGTTCCGCATAGGGACTTATGCAGAGCTTTAATAGTATATCTTACATACACAGCCGATATAAGTAAGGCATTACTTAGGGTAGGACTCCAAGATGAGGACCGAAATTACACCAAGTTCCTATGGATAAGGGATACTAGTAATCCAAACAGTGAAATAATCATATACAGGTTTGTGTCCATTTTGTTTGGAGCTACTTCACCGTTTCTGCTTCAAACAACCTTAGACACATATTTGAAGAAGTCCAATAGCCCATACAAAACTGAAATTAGCAATAACCTGTATTTCAACTTCCAAGTTGAAATACAGTTCTCTTTCAACTTACAGTGAAAGATAACTGCTAAACATATATCATGAGACCAATCGAGAGTTTTTGGGAGCAAATGTGTTGTTGGGTCCAGTCGTGAGTTTCAAATAATTTAAAACTAAATCAATTGATTGAATCAGAATTTCCAGACTACAAGGTACCTCTAAAGATAAAGGTATTAGGATTTAAATTGGAAACAACATCTGATCAATCTATATAAATAAAAATGTAAATGTTCGTTTGTTCAAAATCGCTAATCACTGAAAGTTCTTCACCGATTGCTTTGAAATTTTGACACAACGTTCCATTCGCATATGAGCGTGTTTTTATATACATATTATATAGATGTCACATTTGTAGCAGATAAAAACAGACTTTATTTGAAACACAGTGTTTTTCATGTGAGGGAAATCTCCAAAACTTCTTTACCGATTGCTTTGAAATTTTGACACAACATTGCATTTGAATATGCATGTGTTTTTATATACATGCCACACCAGTGTCAGGTAAAAATATACTTTTTTTGAAAAACAGCGCCATCTGTTTGACGAAAGATCAACACACGCTCTAATCTTCAAAATTTCTTCACCGATAGCTTTGAAATTTTCACACAACGTTCCATTCGAATACGGCATGTTTTTATATACATACTATATAGATGCCACACCTGTGACAGGTAAAAACATGTTTTTTTGAAAAACAGCACCATTTGTTGTATGTAAGGGTAACACACGCTGTACTAAATATGTTACGATTCCATTTCAGTGTTTCCGATTGCAAAGATAAATTGATTTTTCATAGATTTCGATTTATTTTTATTTCTATTTAATTATTTTGTGTGACATTGCATTGGAATTCAGCTGTGTTGTTTACCATACTGTTCATTTCCTGAGTATAAATTTAGATGCCACACCTGTGACAATTAAAGACATGTTTTTATTTTTTTTAAATAGCGCCATCTGTTGCACGTTGGAGCAACACACCCTATACTAAATGTGTTACGATTCCATTTCATTGTTTCTGATCTCATTGATAAATTGATTTTTCATAGATTTCGATTTATTTTCGTTTTGATTTAATTATTTTATGTGAGATTGCGTTGAAATTGAGCTGTGTTGTTTACTATAGCGTTCATTTTGTGAGTATAGTTTATTATTTTGTAGGTTTTTCAGTTCTTTTTTTTTAACTGTTCTTATTTTTTCAGTGACAGGGAACATCAGATCATTTGATGTTC